CTTAACCCATTGTGCCACCAGGGCACCTGAAGTGAGAGTTAAAAGAGAATGATTTTTTTCCACGAACGTTTTGAAGCCCCCTCATATTTGCTGAAGAATTAAATTACCTATTTGAGGCATGGTGTGGCAGAAAAGGGTTGTGTTGGACTTCTCTGGGCACAAGCCACTGAGCTGGTCACCAGAGCACAAGCTCCAGCTAGGGCGAAAATGAGCCTGCCAGGGGGAGGTTGAGGCACGAGGCAGCAGAAATGAACGTGTCACAAGGCAGCAGGTGATGGATTGCCAAATAAGTGGCTCAAGATGTGGTGGTGATTCAATCAGATAATGCTTGTGCAAACACTTCCACACTTCACAACACCCCGCTCCAGGATATCAGGTGGCCAGCCTCTCCTCTCCCCAGGCCAGGCCCATAGTTACACCGCAGGCATCATAAGTACCCGGTACATGGAATGAACCTCACCAGACCACCTGAGACCGTGGTCCCCTCACAGCCCTATGTGCAGAGCCACTGAAGAGAAGATACTGTGCTGTCCAGCACACACATCCCTTAAACATTTTGTCCTCTCCCCAGCTCCCTTCTTTGGCCACCTAGAAAGCTAAACTCATGGTCATTGTGTTGATGCCCCCTCAGGGCAACCCCGTGTATACAGAGAATTGTGCTCTGTAGAGTTTTCCTCTGGGTGGGTGGAGACAACAACTTTTCAGCTAGTAGGTAAGCACTGAACTGTTTGTGCTACCCTGGGGCTTCCTGGAAACCTGGTAGTGGTGGTGGGTGGCACAGAGTCACTTCCAACTCATAGTGACCCCATGTGGCAGGGTGGAACTGCTCCTTAGGATTTGCTAGACTGTGATCTTTTCTCTCTCAGAGCCTCTTATGGGTTCGAATCACCACCCCTTTGGTTAGTAGTTGAGCATTTAACTGTTTGTACCACCCAGGGACTCCCTAGAAAACTATTCTGCATTCAAAATTTCACCTCCTGTGATCCTCAGACAGAAGGAAGGGGCACCTCCCTCTCGCTTGTCAAGCGTGTGCTTGTTACCTGTCCTCGAAGGCAGTGCACACATGACTCACATCTATGACCTATTATGGGGTCCCCCTGGTTGGCAGTTCATGCCTTGCCTCGTCAGCAGTCCATCAGACAGGCACAGTGAGTGAGGTCGGGGATGGGTGTGGAATTGGCCCGAGAGACTTCCAAAGGCCAGTGGGAATGATAACTCTGAAGCTCAGGGTTTTGTACATTTTGAATAAATGGATAAATCAACCCGAAGATTGCCCAGTGAAATTCCTGTGTCTGACTCCCAGGACCTCAGCTGTTGTCTCCAAACTGAGTAAGGGGGGCAACCAAGGTAAAGTGGGGGCACGTACGTTTAGCTAGAGCCGAGAGTTTAGCTAGAGGGATGCCAGAAAGTGGAGGTAGAGGGGGCCTCTGATGATTTTTTGTTGTTGCTAGATGCCCTTGAATCCGTTCCGACTCATAGTGACCCTGTGCACTGCAATACGAAACCCTTCCCCGTTCTGCACCATCCTCACTGAGAATCATTGTAGCCACCGTCAGTCCATCTTGTTGGGGGTCTTCCTCTTTTTCACTGACTCTGCCCTTTACCAAGCATGATAACGGTTTTCAGGGACTAATCCCTCCTGATCACATACATGTCCAAAGTATGAGAGACAAAGTCTGTCTCTCCAGCCTCGCTTCTAAGGAGAATTCTGAGTGAACTTCTTCCAAGACAGGTTTATGAGTTCTTCCGGCAGTGCATTATTCTTCACTTCAGATGGTGGTGGTTAAGTGTCATTGAGTCAGTTCCGACTCTTAGCGACCCTGTTTAGGGTATCCCAGGAGCAGTTGTGGGTTTGAACCACCAAACTGTGGCTAGCAGTCCAGTGCTTATCCTACAGTGCCACACCGGGTAGAAAGTCGCGGACACCCTAGGGGATCAGGGAGCTATTGGGTGTCTGTGTGGCTTCTGAAAACCAGGCTGTGGTTTGGAGAGATTCTCCAGGGGAATCCTTTCTGTTTGAAATGGGAGGTGCCCTGTGACTCTGCCTCCAGTTTTTATCTCAGCATTTTCAGTGATGTCCAGGCGTGAGGACCCTCCAGTGCTCACGGCTGCTTTTTCCTTCTCCTGCCTGCCCTGGACTGGCTCTGCCCTGCTCTCTGTCCTTCTGAGCCCTTTGGGCACTGTCCCTTTCTTCTCTCCGCCCTCATGTCTGCCTTGACCCGGAAGGCAGGACACCCCCACAGCAGGTGGTCCTCAGCGCTGAGTCACCTCCCTGGGAACTGTGCCCTGGGCATCCGCCTCAGTGGAATGGGACTGGCAGAGCCCAGGGCCTTTCCCCTGGCCTCCAGCTTCACAAGGGCCCTTTCAGGAGAGGGCAGAGTGAGCAAAGGCAAAACAACAGACCCTGGTTTGTTTATGCATCTAGCATCTCACTGAGCTGATAAGAAGTGGAAGGAGAGTCAATTGAAGGACCAAAAGGAAATTGTCCTAATGGTGGTTTCTTGCTAGCATCTTTGGCAAAACACAACGCATTTTCCCACAAGTATAGTTACGTAGTTATGGGACGAATCTAGTCCAGTCCTCTGTTGTGAATTGAAAGAGCTTATGGAATCCTGGTAGCACTGTGGGTTAATGCGCCGGACTGCAAAGCCGTTTGAACTGCAGGGTTGGTGGTTCAAGCTCACCAGCTGCTCCTCGGAAACCCTATCCAGGGTTGCTGTGGGTTGGAACCGACTCGATGGCACTTAACAACGACAACATGGAGTCCTGGTGTGGCACTATAGGATCAGCACTGGACCTCAGAAATCCTGTACAGGATCACTGTGAGTCAGACTGATTTGTCGACAGTTAACAACAACAATTGGAGTAACTAAAGGGACCCTGGAGGCACAGTGGTTAAGCACTTGGCTGCTAACTAAAAGGTCAGCATTTCAAACACACCCATTACTCCTCCATAAGATTACAGACTCAGAAACCCTATGGGGCAGGTCTCCTCTGTCGTATAGGATCGCTGTAAGTCCAAGTCAACTTGACAGCAACAGGTGTGGGGTTTTTTGTTTTATCTTTTAGCCATGTGACATGGCATGGGGAGCTAGCTAAGTCAGTGATAATTCTAGGAAACCAGCAAGTCAGGTTGGGCTACTTAAAAAAAAAAAAAAAAGTTATTTGTTATTTATAGATACTCTGATGGGGGGGTGTTGTTTTCAAACATTATAATGTGTGTTTTCCCATCCTATGGAAGGAAATGAAAACAAACGCTTTATATATGTATATGCATGTATATATAATATATATATATATATGGAATCCTGGTGTGGCACTATAGGATAAGCACTGGACTGCTAACTGCAAGGTTGGTGGTTCAAACCCACAACTGCTCCTTGGAAGCCCTACATATGGGATCACTGAGTCTTAACCAACTCGACAGTATGTAACAGTGTGTGTGTGTGTGTGTGTGTGTGTGTGTGTGTGTGTGTATACATAGTCTTTTCATTCCATTTTCCATGAACTTTTTGAAGCCCCCTCATGTGTCTGGCTGGTTTGCATCAATGACTAGAGGAGACCTCAGTGTAATAAGGCGAGTTGACCATGAGAATAAGCCTTTATCAAGGAGCAAGTGAATAGTCTTATAAACATTCACCCACATTGAAAAACAAAAAAGGAAGAAGAGGGCAAGTGTGACCAGGAATTCCCAAAATGCATAGCTCTATATATTTTCATAGCTGGGTAACAACAGCTCTTCGGAGCCACTGCCAGCTTCCTCAGTTCCCACAAAGGAATAAAGGAGTCTGTGACAAAAGTCATGCCTGAATGTCACAGTGCCTGTGGCCAACTGAGATGGGAGGAAGTGGCTTCTTGCCTCTTGCTTTTTCTGTACTGAATTTTTAATTTCAGGATAAAACAGTTTGAGTTTTCTACTTTCCAAGACCTGTGCCCACTCCAGCCTAAGTGCCCCCAAACGCAAAAAACAACAACAAAACAAACGCCGTCCTGTTCTTGCGTAAGTGCAGTTTCTGAGGGTCTGTGTGCCATTTTCACTGCCGTCGTGTTGTGTGAGTCGGAGTTTCTACCTTTCATTTTCTGCTGACTCTTTCAGGAGTACTGTGTGTGTAAACTAGCCACACAAAACTTACGGTGGGTGCCTGAAACGTTTCATAGCTTTTCGAAGGCAGGAGAATTCAGGAAGATTCTACTAGAAACCAGAACTGTATCCTGATTGTTACAGCCTTCCTGATTTCAGAGCGATAGAAACAAAAGCATGAGAACGTTCCAGGCCGGTTGATTGTAGAATCCATTCCAGTCTAGGACCGAGTAGAACTACCCACAGCGTTCCATGGCTTACGGAAAACCTTTCTGGGAGCAGAGTGCTACACCATCTTTCTCCTACAGAGCATCCTGTGGGTTCGAACCACCAACCTTTCAGTTCGCAGCCAAACGCTGAGTCACTGCACCACCAAGGTTCCTAAAAGAAGGGAAGTTTTTTCTTGACTCGCATCCTGTGTTCAGTGGGAGAACCAAACTGATAAGAGGTGGCAAAAAGCCAGCCCTGGTGACCGTATGAAGAGATGGTCATTCAGAAGTGAGATGAATATCATCGGCCTTTTAAAAAGCTGTGTGAAAAGAACCTTGGTGGTAACTGTGGTTGGTTGCCTGCTCACTACAAGGCTGGCAGTTCAAAGCCCCAGCTGCTCCACCAAAGATACATGAGACCGTCTGCTCCTATAAAAGTTTAGAGTATCAGAAATCCTACACAGGTCACTTTGTGTCAGAATTGACGTGATGGCATTGGGGCTAATACGACCCTGTACAGTTAGCAAACTAAGCTGCTAACTGAAAGGTTGGAGGTTCAAGTCCACCCAAAGGCACCAGGGAACCGAGGCCTGGTGATGTACTTCTGAGAAAGCAGCCTTTGAGAACCCTGTAGAGGACAGTTCTACTCTCACACACAAGGGGTCGCCAAGGGTCAGAGTTGACTTGATGGCTGTGATGACTTACGAAACATGGAAGCCATTAGAGGCGCTGAGGAGGAGTTAAAGGAGGCCGAGAATCTAGTCGGCGAGTTCCCGCCTGGGCATGGGTTTGTTTATGCTGCCTTTCAGAAGTCCAGGCCAACATTCTTAATGGTTTGGAGTGATTCAGGATGTTTCTTTGTTGGCACACATGAGCTATGACTGAAGAATCCTTCTCTGAGGGCCAAGGCAGAAGCCAGCCATACACTTAATGCCATAGTTCAGAATCTGCTTATCTTGAAGCAAAAGGAAGGCTATCACAGACAGCTTCCGTGTTTCAGATGTGGAGAGACAGGACCAGAGAGCCCTGGGGGCCAAGGTCACAGAGCTGAAGGAGAGCCAATTGCTCCATTCCCAGCCTTGACCTCTAGCTCTTGAGGCGTGTCCAGAGCTTCCTGTCACAGAAGAAAACAATCATTCATTATTTATCAGTTGACTCGCTTCTGGACAAACATAAGGATAGTAATGTTCCTATCTAGATGCCAAAACGAGACTCCATCTATTCCTTTTTCTTTTCCCCTTTGATGAGCGTTCGCTTATGCCATGCTAGTTCTTAATAAAACAAACTTCTAGTCCTTCCCACAGGAGAAAGAATTGAGCCAAATTCTAAGAACATGGTGTGGTCTTGAGGCACCAGGTAAAATAGAACATGTAGAAGATGTTCTAGATGTTTAGCAGTGCCTCTGCGAATGCCGGCAGACCTCGTTTCATTGTACTACAAATTGAAGGGTTGTGGCCAGCCTGCCTTGAGCAAGTCTGCTCGCACTGTTTTCCCAGCAGCCTGTGCTCCTTCTGTGTCTCCATGCCCATTGGTCCTTCTCACAATATTTCAAATGTTCTCATATTGCTGTTACACACTTCAGAGACTACAGTATAGTATCAGTGTGACTTTTGTATGTACCTTGAAACCAAAAAAACTTATGCAAATCACTCTATTGTGGTATTTGGTTTATCGTGGTGATCTGGAACCAAGCCTGCAATACCTCAGAACTGGAGAGAGAAATTCAGTCCTGCTGACCGGGGACCTCACAGGAAAGGCCTTGGGTCCAGGACAGTGTGGAGGTTTTGTGCCAAGTGGACAAGGCATGGTGGTGGTTTGATTTTAAATCTAATGTGGTTGTTTTTAGATTTTTGGTTTGGTTCCCCTACACAAACCTTTTTCCTATTTTATATTTGTGTGTACTTAGAAAAATTAAAATCTAGCAAATGCTTCAAATTTAAGCCCATGGATAAAATTTTCCTAACAAAATTACACAGCAAACTGGAAACAGCCACACAGGGATGGTGTGCTGTGCGCTTCGGAGGATTTTTAGTTCATATGGGAGAAGATGCCTCCCACCTGCCTGGGTCGCGGCTTCCTGGGTAGACACCTGCTTGCTTGCCTTCCCAGGATGTAGACTCAGTCCCGCCTGGCCGGGTGCCTCCTGGGAGGCCAGCTCGATGCCATGTGTACCTGCAGTTATGTGGGAATTTCCTTCTTCTCTTTGCTGTGTACCCTGAAGTCACTCCTATATTTGACCCCAGTGTGAGTCCCCTTCAGAATTCACCCCCTGTGCCTCCTAAGGACTTGGGGCCAGGGAAGGAGACTCCTAGTGGGCTGAGGGGCATTTCCCAGCTCTCACTCGGTCCATGTTCTCTGCATTCTAGACAGATGCCACTTGTGTGCCCCCACCAACCAGGCCACCTGAGAAAGGGCCCCACCCTCTCTGACCACCTCTATGTCGTCTTGCTTATACCTCTATAGAGTGAAGAACACGGGTCTGTACAAGCTTATCCTGACCTCAACGTCTGGTGCCCTGCCTGGGGGCTGCCATCGCCCTGAGCTTCCCCATGATGACAATTGTCTGCTGACTCGGCTGCAAACAGCTCGGTGCTCCCTCAGGAGCGTGGTCCATCTACTGCGTCCCACTCAGTGCTCCCCCAGGCGCAAACTCTACTGCATCCAGCTTGGTGCTCTGGCAGATACGTCCTCTGCTGCGTCGAGTTTGGTGCTCCCCCCGGCGTGGACTCTACTGCATCCGGCTTGATGCTCCCACACGCGCGTCCTCTGCTGTGTCCAGCTCGGTGCTCCCGCAGGAGCGTGGTCCATCTGCTGCGTCCAGCTCGATGCTCCCACAACCGTGTCCTCTACTACATCCAGCCTGGTGCTCTGGCAGGTACGTCCTCTGCTGCGTCCAGCCCAGAGTTCCCGCAGTTGCCTCCTCTGCTGTATCCAGCCTGGTGCTCCCACAGGTGTGCCCTCTAATTGGTCTCTTGGTGACACTCCTGTTTCCTCTCACCCCCTGATCTCACAGTCGTTCAGCTGTCATCTTCTGGAATCCCCTCAAAGCCTATGCACTGACCTTCTCAGCACCTTTCCTTCACCTCCCTGCCACATCTGCCACGTCTAACATAACTTCCCTGTCCCCTCTTTAGAGCCTGCTGTGTCTTTCCACCCACCGGCCCTCCCTGGAATGACCTGACAGCCTTGCCTGCTCTGGCTGCGCCCTTCCTAGTCACCTGCTGTGCTCTGGGCCCATGTGACACACCTTAGCACGAAATATGTGCCTGCACCCTAGACTTCCTTCCACAAGACCTCTCCGTCACTGGTTCCTCCTCAGCGACGTGGTGAGAGAACACTGGAGCCAGTGAGGGCGTGCTCCTCCTGACCCTAAAATAGTCCAAGACCATTGTACATAGACTCACGCCCCCTCTGGGCCTCCTGGAGTCCTGCAGTGACCTGGAAGCTGCAAAGGCATCTTGGAAATCAGAGTCTCCCATGCTCCGAGCAGCCAGCCTCCCAGCCTTCTGCGGTTGGGTCAGTCTTTAGGGCTGCATCCAGGTTTTTCTCATGAGACAGCTGCTGAGCGAACCCCCATCCCCTGGTAAGTGTCGTGTGCAGAGGCGCACCTCAGCACAGGCTACACCCCGAGGGCCAGTTGTCCGTGGATCTCCTGACAGCACTGGTCAGGTGGCTTGCCGAAGAGAAAACTCTGCCACTGCCCCTTGGGAGACTGCCTAGGGCTGGCACTGCCCTTTCAGCTCCAGGTGCCAGTCTGCTGGGCCTGGGGAAACTGACCGTACGGCATCCCTACACCCGATGGCAGTAGGGGCTTGTGCTCAGGAGTTTCATTGTATCCCTTGGCAGTCCCCCAGGCCATGAAAAATGTTCATCAGTATAAGTCTCTACTTTTCGTCTCTTAAACATCCAACTCCTAACTTATTATTTAAAGAAAAAGAAAACGTATAATGTGAACTGCTATTGTCCAGATCTCACATTCCAGTCTTAGGATGGAAGAAGGGAAAGAGGGCAGAACACGTTAAAGATTTGATTCAATTGGACAAAACCGTGTGTTGATCCAAGCGAGGCTTTCTCGGATTCTAGCATTAGTCAGAGGAGCCCTGGTGGCACAGTGGTTAAGAGCTTGGCTGCTGACAGAAAGGTTGGTGGTTCAAACCCACCAGCCTCTCCAAGGGAGACAGATGTGGCGTAAAGATTCCCAGACGAGGAACCTCTGCCTTTGGTGTCTGTGGAAGCTGCAGAATGTTGCCGGGGACGTGTTGTAATGCAGGAGCTGTGAGCCATGTCCACGACGTGCTGAGGGAAGAATGATGTACGGTTTTGTGCTCACCACTGCGATCCCCTCGTGACCTCAGACACGGTACTGTCACTTGTCCTAATTGCTCATTTAACCCTCACCCGGTGGGCACTGTCATTGTCCTGATTGTACAGTCGAGTCAGAGTAGCTTCCTCGGGCCTGCGCTGGGAGCTGCCTTACAGACAAGGGACGCTTTGCGGAGCACCATGGCTGGTTGTGGTTGAAGATGCTGTCTTATCATTGCCACACTCACTGGGTTGCAGCTCCTCAGTGGCACGTCTGGTGGGACGACCCAGGAAGTAAGTGACACTGACCCATAGGGCCGGCCACTGTGCTCTTTGGACCCGAACCCACGTGAGAAGGTGAGAAACCCAGCCCCAGAGAAGACGTCACACCACATGTGAGAAGCCAGCTCGCTGCTAACCAGACACTGCTCTCTTACAAGTCGGCTCTTCTCATGGTGGGGATCTGACGAAAGGAGGATATGAAGCAGCCTTAGAAACCGAATGAGGCACGTCTACACGGAGCCCTCTACAAGTCCATGGCATGGATTTCTTGTTTTTAATTCCTTTGCATGCTGAGGAGATTCTGGAACCCGGAGCCAGCTTGTGTACAGAGCTCTGGGTGGCCGCGGGAAGATGAGCCTGCTCAGAAAGTAGAATGTGCTGAGCAGTGGTTGGCAAGACTTAGGAGATTGGGTATCTGCCACAGGGCTTGAATCCCAGCCCTGACATTTATAAGCTTTGTGACCACCAGCAAGCCAGGCACCTTTCCTTAAATCTCTGTTCTCACACTGGGCACATGACTAAAACCACCTGGAAAAATGCCCGTGAAACACGCAGTGTCTGCCACAGATGCCATCAGCTGTCACTGCTCTGAGGAAACCTGGTGAGGCAGTGGATAAACACTTGGCTGCTAACCAGAAGACTGGCAGTTCAAATCCACCAGCCACTACATGGGAGAAAGATGTGGCAGGACCTGCTTCCGTGGGGTCAATTCTGATTCATTGTGGTGAGTCCTGAAGAACCGAGTAGAACTGCCCCACAGGGTTTCTGTAGGCTATAATCTCTACAGAAGTCGACTGCTTACATCTTTCTCCCATGAAGCAGCTGATGGGCTCAAATCACCATTTTTCTCCTTGGCAGCCCAGCATTTAATCTCTGCACCTCCAAAGCTCCTCCCCACAAAGATTAACCCAAAAAACCACTGCCACAGAGCCATTTCCAAGTCTTGGTAAGTCTACAGGGCAGTGTTGGAACCGTGACCGGTAGGGTTTCTGAGACTGTAAATCATCTGGGGGCAAAGAGCCTCATCTTTCTGCCTCAGAGCAACTGGGGGTGTAAACTACCAACCATGTAGTGCACAGCCCACCGCTTAGCTCACTGCAACACCAGGGCCTTGGAAACCCCTAGGGGCAGATCTTCTCTGGCCCATGGGGTCACTGTGAGTCAGAATCTACTGGACAACAGGTTTAGGGTTTTGGTGTCACTGTTCTGCTGAGGACCCTGCCACCCACTCCAGAGGTGCGGTCCACCTTCATCCTGCGAAGCCACCCAAGAGTCAGATCCATCCAGCAAAAGCAAAAACATGTGTAACACGTGTGTGGAGCTGTTTTGTGTGCTGACTGTAAGTGGTCTAACAGCCGCTGTAGTACCAAAGTGTCTGTCTCCATTCTTTCTCACAGAGCTAATAAGCAGCGCAAGCTCGGCTCCAGACCCTGCCCGACATGTTCATCTGCTGCGTGTAAGACATCCCTCGCCCAGACTCACACGGTCAGCACAGATCAGCACAACTCTGGACCCCAGTGTCCCTACGTTTGCAAGGTAAGACATCAAGAGGAATCCTAGTCAGATACCATTCTCTTGTTAAATCCTCCAGCCCCGGGGGAAGGTACCTTAATCCCGTATTCAAGAACAGACTGGCATCTCAATTTAAAGAAAACAATGTGCTTCTACTGTTCAACTTTTTACCACATGGGAGTTACTGGGGTAGTGTACTGAGTCACACACAATGCATGCTCCAACCTTCCTATCAGATTTGGAAACAAAAATACGAAGTAGAGCCACTTGCTCAAAAGTAGCATCAAACATGGCAGCGCAGAGTGGGCATAAATGGTGAATAGATACATTCCCATACCTGTGAGTCGAGAGACATAAATGGTGGGGTCTTCTCATACAGCCCCCCAAATACCAGTGTTTTAATACCAAAGATGGAGAGTTTGAGAATCGGAAGTGTGCGCTCTATGTATAAGAGTTGCTCACAAATCGCTTTCAAATGTTGTCGTACCTTAAATTTGTTGGTGGTTAAAATTGGTCTTCAAATAGCAACACCCTGAGAAGCCCAAGTCCAGTCCTGTAGTGTCCTGTCCTGGCCTAACAATAGAGCCGTCAATGGTTTGTTGGGTCTAGGAGACCACAGAGGAATGGAAGCAGCTAATGTTCCACAAGTAAAACTTTTTCTCAGAAAGGTTGGCCCTACGGTCACCGGGGATGCCCCACATCTGGGAGGAGAGGATGAATGTGTCCCTCTCCCTGTACCAACTGGGTTTCTCCCTCCCTACTGGTGGACAAAGCAGTTGCCATCTATGTTCTTTTGGCAGTCGGTCTCTTCCGGCAAACAGATCTTCAGGAAGCTGCCAAAAGAACATAGAAGTAGTCTGTACGTTTCCTTCCAAATCTGACAGTAAGGTTGGAGGCCGTACTGTGTGTGAATGAGGACAGACACTGGCGTGTGGATATTGATGTTTGTTGACCTGATAGCAGTGGGTTCCTGTGTGTGCTTTGTGTGTGTATGTGACATTTATGATGAGGGAAACACAAAACTTAACCAGGTGGAAGTGAGAGGCATAGCTCTTGTTTACTCACAACCAGCATGTCAATTATCTGAAAACATTCCTAAGTAGCAGTGGTCAAAGACACGGTGTCTTCATCATTTGTAGAAAATGTGCAGACCTCTTTGTGCTGGATTTGAGAATACTAGCAATTGCTCCGACCGGCACTTTGTCAGTGATGGTTCTGGAGTCACATGCTCATGTGTCCTTTCAGGTTGCCAGCGTTAACCGATTGTCTCTTCACAAAGTCCATGCTTTTCTTTGCAGCTGCCAGGCCACTGTACTGTGATGGAGTGGCTGCTGCTGTCCACCTTGCCTTTCTTGTCCCAGCAGCAGGAAGCCCGTGCTTCCCAGGGGACCCTGGAAGGAAGCCATCACTGACCACGACTTAGGGGTGAAAGATACAGATCAGATGAAAGCTGAGCAGCCTGCACGTCCTACTAGTTAGCATCCTACTTGAAGTCACTTGAGATTGCCCACCACCAGCACCTTGTAACAGACTGTCCCCGGCTGGGTTCATGGTGACATTACCCCGTAACAGGTATGAGGAAATACAGAAGGAGAAACTAAAGTGCACGTTACTGTCTACAGGCAAGCATACAGACCAAGAATGCTGACTAAGAATGCTGAATGGATTAATTAACTAAAGTGCAGTTAATATATATAAGCAAGAATGCGGAGTTAGAATTCAGGGTAAGTGCATGGCAAACCCAGGAGAAGAACCTACGTTTCATAGAACCACAATGGG